GTCTTTATTTTTCACATTCTCTTCACTTTCTGAGAATCAAACCTGATTTTTATTTAATTTCTTGACTTGCACGAGTTTAAATTTTGGGCTCCAAAATTAAAGATTTATTCCTTGCACAAGAATAATGAGTCCAAAAAAAAAAAAAATCCTAAATTCTTCCAAATTCCTGCCCAGAAATGTAATAGCTTTTAATTTCAACAGCTGTTTTAATATTATATTTTCTATTCTTATATAATTATAATATATTTGAATAATATTTTAATATAATATATATTTAGAATATATTCTACTTTAATATAATTCCAATTTTTTTTTCCTTCACCCTTGTAATTTTATTTTTTTCCCACCTGAAATGGTGAGAAATGTTGAATTTTACAGCTGCTAAAATCGGATTTTGAGGGTTTTTTTTTTGTTTTATTTTTGTTTTTTTTTTTCTTTTGCAGGAGCTGAAGAAATACGGGGTCACCACCTTGGTGAGAGTTTGTGATGCCACCTATGATCAGGCTCCCATTGAGAAAGAAGGAATCCAAGTTCTTGTGAGTTCTCCTAAAAAATGGTTTAAAAATTGGCAAAAAAAAAGGTTAAAAAGTGGCAAGAAATTGGTTAAAATTGGGGGGGAAAATCGGAAAAAATTTGGCTAAAAATTGGTTTAAACTTGGTTAAAAATTAGCTTAAATTGGTAAAAAATTGGCAGAAAATTGGCAAAAATGGTTAAAAATTGGTTTAGAAATTGGTTTAAGAATTGGTAAAAATTGGCAAGAAATTGGTCTAAAATTGGCTAAAAATTGGTTAAAAATTAGCTTGAAATTGGCTAAAAATTATGTGTTAAATAATACATATATATATTTGCTATATATTTATATTTTTATATATTTATATATTTTTATATATTTTAATGTACTATATAGTATGTATATTTATATGTTCTAACGAGTAAGAATAATATATTTTTATATATTCTATATATATTATATGTTATATCTAGTATACTATATTTTAATATATTTTTTATGTATTCTGTATTTACCATTTATTACATATTTATATTTATATATTTTTTTATATGTTACCTATTCCCTATATTAAAGATTCTATATATTTAGGATACTATATTTTTATATATTTTTGTGTAATCTGTATTTACTATTCATTATATCTTTATATTTATATATTTTTTTATATGTTACATATTCTCTATATTAAAGATTCTATATATTTAGTATATTATATTTTTATATATTTTATGTGATCTGTATTTACCATTTATTATATATTTATATATTTTTATGTTACATAATCTATATATTATATATATTTAGTGTACTATATTTTATATATTTTTATGTATTCTGCATTTGCTATTTATTATATCTTTATATTTATATATTTTTATATGTTACATAATCTATATGTTATATATATTTAGTGTACTATATTTTAATAATATTTTTATGTATTCTGCATTTGCTATTTATAATACATTTATATTTATATATTTTTATACATTACACAGTCTATAACATCTATATTTAGCATACCACATTTTTACACCAACTCTAATCGTTTCCCCATAATCCTTCCCCTCTCTCTGCTGGCCATTGTGATCTAATTAATCAATTAATTCAATGAATTACTAATGAATAATTGCCGTTCAGGACTGGCCGTTCGATGACGGGGCGCCCCCTCCCGGCCGTGTCGTGGATGATTGGCTGAGCCTGATCCGCAGCAAAGCTCGGGACGAGCCCGGCGCCTGCGTGGCCGTGCACTGCGTGGCCGGCCTGGGCAGGTGCGTGAGCTACGACTGCACGGGGCAGGAATTCGGCAGGGATCAGTCAGAAATTAGCCAGGAATTATCCAAGAATGAGCCTGGAATCGGCCAAGAATTATCCAGGGATGAGATGGGAATTTGTCGGGAATTTGGCAGGAATTTGGCAGGGATGAGACAGGAATCAGCCAGAAATTATCCTGGAATGAGCCTGGAATCAGCCAGAAATTATCCAGGGATGAGCCTGGAATGAGCCTGGAATCAGCCAGGAATTATCCATGGATGAGACAGAAATTAGCCAGGAATTAGCAAGAAATTATCCAAGAATGAGCCTGGAATCATCCAGGAATGAGCCAGGAATGAGCCTGGAATGAGACAGAAATTATCCAGGAATTTGGCAGGGATGAGCCAGGAATTATCCAGGAATGAGCCTGGAATGAGCCAGGAAT